GGACCTCGTTTTGAAATGTAATCACAAAATATTTGAATAATTACTGTTAATATTTTGATTTATTTCATGAGCAGTTTTCAACGACTTGGCTATCGTCATCATATCTGCTGTCTGGGAATCTGAAATGCGAATTTCTGAAGCGTTTTAGACAATGTAAAAATTTTACACTGATATATAATTAATACATTCATATATACATATATATATATATATATATATATATATATATATATATATATATATATATAAATTGTAATTCCTTTTTAACATCTTACCATACAAGTATTTGAAGCTCTTATTAACATGTTTCGATTTGGAAAATATTCTTTTGTATGGAACAATATAAAACGCGGCCTTTCCGTTACATTTCCTATTTTTTCAATATATAAACTTTTTTATTTGAAGAGACTAAAATTTTCGTTGAATCCACCGATGACTTATCAATCTGTTCTGTATTCATGTCACGTAATGTATAATTTATATTTATTGTTGGTTACGATATGGCATAGAAATAAGACAATAACTCATGCATTTTATTAATCCGTCGTCAATTACCCTGAATGCACGCAATGATGCGAAACGACCTGGACGTGGATATCATCAACATTGAGCAGATAAACCTGAAAAGAAGAGGAAAGAAACAGGCAAGATCGATGGAAAAGTTTCACACTGATTAGAATGCAAAACAATTTGGTCATGACACTCACTTCACTTGAAATTTGTTGCATTTCCTTTCACCATTCGGTAACATACGGATTGCACTCTTATTTCCTTTTTCTGAACACTTTTTATACCACACCGTGTATACACCTCCAAATACGTCATTTGAAAGCGGGAAGAAAGGGTGTTGCTGTCGTTCAAGGACCGAGAACTCTGGCACCGTGCACAAAGGAACAGGGAGATTCGTTCTGCTCATTCTAAAAGTCTATCGAGCGATAAACAAGTATTTTCGTAGTCGCTATTCACGGTTTACACGATTTTCTGAGACATGTTTAAGGGACACTACATTTAATGGGTGTAGAAAGAGTATTAACACACAAATTAGAAGGAAAACATGTATCACTAATTACACTTTACTTCTTTCAGTTCTTTTGATTTGAGCATTAATAACTAGTATTTAAATTCTTGATTTACATTGTTTTTATTTTTACTTTATTCCATGGCAAAACAATTAAAAGCTGTGGGTAACGCGTACTGGGAGAAGTGTATTCCGTGCACGGTTTCTTAATTCTGGGATCCATACTCTAATCCATATAAAAGTTGAATTCTGAAGAATGAAAGGAGGGTTTTTGGCGAGAATTGTTAACAAAAAATTCGCTCCGCTGAAATAAAATCTATTTTCAAAGGTACATAAGCTATAAATATGGGCTCTTATCCCTCATCATGTAATTCGTAAAGGAATAATACTTCCTGTCGCGACAACATGGAGAACGATAATTTGAATAGCTATAATTTCCACTGAATTCTAGGATATGTGCACAGATAATTAAGTTAAATTTCCACACTGAAGCAAAACAAGAGGTCATCTCAGCATTTTCTCAGTGGATCAGGGAAACTGTTCGAAAAACCTGATCGAGATAAGGGTCACTGACCCATAAACTGAGGTACAATACTTCTTACACGTTGTTTAGAAGTATATAGTCCAAATGGTAATTAATACATTAAATATCATTGTTAAAATAAAATTGCTTTTCTTGTTGATTCTCGGTATAGTCTCTAATTGTATAGAAAGAGTTATGTAGCAGACAATATTTTACTTAGGACTTAAACAAATATTTCACGAAAAAATAATTCTTGGATCACACAAGGTATTAGAACATCGTGTAAAAATAACCGTACGCTTTACTTTATTTCTAAATGTAGCACCCGGTTTCCATGTCTACTTCCGAAAATACAAAAGAATTTTAAGGAAAGTAATAGAGCAGGCAAAAATAATGAAAAATAGTTAGGAAATTTTGAACGATAGTAACAAACTAAAGCAATGTGAAACATCGTAAAAAATGCGACCACATGATCTCGTTACGTAGAAGAGAATGTTGTTTTAAAGGATAATGAAAGAGAATCCAGTAATCCGGAAAACGTGAAAAATCTCTTTAACCAACACTTTTCGAGATTTGTAGCTGAACTCACAAAGGGACTAGATCGCAAAATTCAACATCATCACCTTTCCAAAAAAAAAAAAATTCGACCCGATGCTAATTTTCTAAACTTCGTCTAACGAAATCTTACGAATAGTCAATAAACTATAGAATGAATATTCATCTGGTTTAGATGAATTTCCGGATTGTTCATTGAAAACTTGTGTACCTGCCTTATACACCCGTCAACACACATTTTTAATGCATCTTTATGTCCAGAAATATTTCCAAATATTTTCAAAACCAAAAATTAAGTCACTTTTTAAAAAGGGAAGCAAAAATGAAATTTAAAAGTACCGACCAATTTCTCTTTTGACGGGTTTCTCAAAAATATTAGAGAGGCTTTCTGTAAACGAATAAAAACTTTTCTAAAAAAAAAAAAAAAAAAGCAACAACAACAAAAGCCAGACTCAAAACACGGGTTTAGAAAATACAAAATTTACGGAACCTGTCATTTTTTTCTCTTCTTAAAGATGTTGCTTCATCAATGGACCAAAATGAAGCATCCATTGGAATATTTTCAGATCTTTCGAAAGCCTTTGACGTTATTGACCATAACATCTTGCTATCAAACTTATCTTCTTATGGAAATCGTGGAATCGCTCTAGATTGGATAACCTCGTACCTTAAACATCGATCTCAAAGAGTGGAAATACCGTACTGGCATGAAAGGAGATTATTTACTTATCTTTCCAATTTTTTACTAATTGAATATGGGGTCCCCCAAGGCTCGATCTTAGGTCCTAACCTATATCTGTTACACGTAAAAGATATGCCGTCGTCTATTAAAAACGGAAGAACGGTTCTGTTTGTCGATGACACAAATGTTCTTTGCAAAAAAGAAACAATAAATAGTACGCTTTTAGAAGTTTCAAATTGGTTTTGTAATAACAAATTAATAGTTAACGCAGGAAAAACAGTTTCAATGTATTTTTGCATTTCAAAACAGCAATCGCATGCTACATTAAAAATGAACAGTATGATGTTCAGGTAACATTTTTAAGTCTCTCAATTTAGTCAAACCTCAAATGGAATGTACATATAATAAAATTAAACACAAAATTTAGTTCATTATGTTACGCATTCAGAATTCTTTCAAATTCTGTCAGCCTTCATGCAACTCGTTGCATGTATTTAGCAAATGTGCATTCCCGCTTGAGATATGGCATAATATTCTGGGGAACCTCATCATGTAGTATCCAAATCTTTAGATTGCAAAAGAAAAGTATTCGAATAATGAACAAGTGCCATCCGCGTGATACCTGCACGCTTCCCTTCATTGAGCTTGCAATCATACCACTGCCTTGCCTATATATTTACGAATCTGTAATATTTGACAAAAGTGACTTACTTAACGGTGGGAACATATTTCTATGCAATACTGATATTTATAATTACAACACACGTCGTAAAATTCACGTTTATCAAGTGTCAGTATCAACAGCTCACTACCAGAAATCCACATACAATACATGTACGTTACTTTACAACACATTGCCAGATGACATTAAACAATTGAATTCGGTTCACAAATTTAAGTTAATAGTAAAATATTTTCTGCTGCATAACTGTTTCTATACAATTGGAGAGTATACTGCTTATCAAAAAGAAAAATGTTTATTTTAACAAAATAGTGATATATTGAATTAGTTTAAATTTTATTGTATAATGTTTTTAAAAAGTATGAATATGTTTGTAACATATAATTTTCTTCAGCTTCCGGGTCAATGACACCCATCTCGATCAGGTTTTTGTCCAGTTTCCCTGATGCGTTGAGCAAATGCTGAGATGGCCCCTTGTTTTGCGTCTGGACGTAAATGTAACTTCACTATGCGCACGTTTTGTGGAACTCTCCTTTTGTTTGTAATGATAAGAGTAAAGAAAAGGGCGAGTCACTATTTTGTTAACAATGTAGGAAAATCATACTTGCAATTCGTTTACCGATTCGTTTACCAAACTCCGGAACGAAATATCTGTTTTTTTTAAATATTGCTAATCTCGCGCTTTTTTAAAATTTATTTATTTTAAACTTTTAATGATCTTTCTACCATTTATTGTTAAGATGGTAGAAAGAGATTCTGGTACTCGCGAAAACGTGCTCATATGACCTCCCTATACGTCACATACAGTTTTTACTGTTTTTGACTAAATAAATCTCAATAAATCTAAATCTAAACTTTTGTATCAATTTTAATCGTTTAATGCCATCTGGCAAAATAATAAACATGTATTGTATGTGTATATTGTGTGTAATTTAAAAGAACTCTGAAAGCGAAACATAAAGAACTTAATTTAGTGTTCAATTCATTTAAATGGACGTTCCCTTTAAGGTTTGACTGAATTGAAATACCTAAAAAATTTGTTTCCTTGCCATCAGCCAATGGCACACCGTTCATTTTCATTGGAGTGCAGAGCTGTTTATTTGAAATGGAAAACTGTAAGGAAACCGTTTTCTTTTCGTTTACTATTAATTTGTTATTAAGGAAGCAATTTTAAATATCTGATATTATAATATTACGATTTCCTAATTTTTCTTTCTTTTTCTTTCTTAATTTTCGAGGTGAATGATTCACTTCAAATATCGTCTCGATGTATGCACTTAAAAATTTTGACTTGAACGAGGCGCTTATGACATGTCAGAACGAGAACTCGACTGCGAGCAATTAGGCATGGCTGCACGTTCACCAGCGAACGACTGGCCGACATCCGCCTGCCCAAATCATCCGATTAACTGTCACTTGCCACCGGAATTTATTCCGTGAGACCAGTTAATCGGATCGACACCTGAAAAATCTGTGATAAGGGTGTGCTGTCCTTTCTTACGGCTGCGAAACGCGAACGGGAACGGCGTCTGCAATTCCCGATACACACAGCGATTTGGCGACACCCTGCCCTGCGTGAACGCGATCGGCCGCTGACGTCTCTGGTGCAGTCTACGAGAGCGCTGGGCCCTTCTTGCTGCATACGCGGCCACTTTGATGGTGTTTTGGCGGACCTCTTCCGCCGCGAACGACCGGTAACAGGCCACGATAGTGTCATTCATCAAAGTGTGCTCTCATCTCCATTATCGCCGTTTTTTCCCAAACTCATTCATTCCCATTAATTAAATAATGAACTGGACTGAAAATTGCTGCAGAGATAGTGTGTATGTGTGTGTGTGAGAGAGAGAGAGAGAGAGAGAGAGAGAGAGAGAGAGAGAGAGAGAGAGAAAGAGAAAGAGAGAAAGAGACGAGAATAATTGTATTTAAAGACAGTTTCATTTTAATAAATGTGTTCCCGCTGCTCAGACGGGCTGCGCTTGAAAAAATTCCATCCTTGTCTATCACTTTGTTAACTAGTAGCCAAAACGCAACCTTGGACCCAGACCCTTGTGCTCTCCCTGTCGAGCTCAATGCCGGCAGCTGGATGGCAGGTAATGCCCGCTCGGCGCCCTCGAAACAAATTTAACGTGTGCCCTGTTGTCAACCGACGCACCTTCTGTGTATTGGCAAACTTCCTTTTGCAGTGGTGACGTCTATATATCATCACAGTATGTATTCGAAAGAAGTAAAAACGATGAAATTAGTGATCATTATTGATACAATTGAAGTTTATGATTCAAAGGTAATGGCAATGGAAAGACCGATGGTCTCAAAAGCTCTGGAAATGGCAACCAGTTTCACACTGAAAATTAATACCTAAAAGTCTGTGGAAGGTAAGAGTGCAATAAGAGTCGAAGGAATGAGAGGAGGCAATGGTCAGAAGAGTATTAACTATAGAAGACTGCAGGGATTGAAATGAAAACTGTAGTGCAAGAGATTCGTAATAATGCATCATGCTCGCAATACTCCTACTTAACAGTTCTATATATCTCCCTGAGGTATGTTATTATTATGCTAAATTAGATTTTGCCCATGAATATAATATTCATGTCAATGATTTCGAAAATATTACTTTTTGGATGAAATAAGTTTGAAATTTAAAACAATAAAAATGAATTTGAATGATAAGAACTCGTTTATTTTTATATTTGTTATACCTTACTTCCTATTCTATCCAAAGTATTTGAGAAACTTCTTCTATCAAGAATACGTCCTCACATAGCAAC